ATTTACAAGATCAGTATTTCATTGTGCTGCACATGTTGTTAGGGGTCGTCAAGCTGAGTATGATTCATTGCAACCTTACGAGCAACACGCCTGAACCTGTCCAAGTCCGTGCCGTCCTCACAGTCTCTGACATCTTTGAGCCCATTGCTGAAGTCACTTTGTCAGTCTATCTTGTTGAAGGTCTTTCTGTCTTTCGCTGACCCTCCTCCACCTTTCCAACTTTGATGGTGGGGAGGGGTAGCCTGTCCTGGTAACACAGTCCAATTATGTGAGACAAAATTTTGCCATTCTTGTCTCCAATGAGCACTCAGGCTGCACGTTTTCCATGGGATATTCAGAGCTTTTCTCAAACACTCAAAAGCATCAATTCTTCTGTCATCATTAGTCATTGTTCAGTTTTCAGATATATACCAAGTGATTGAAAAAGCCATGGCCTGAATCAGGTACAAATACTCTGTTGTATGTAGCATGCTCCTAACTCACAGGCAGCACATCTCTGGCAGTTTTAACCCACCAATCCTCCTCAAGAGAAAGACGGGCTATCTCCTCCCATGTGATTTACAGCCTCAGAAATTCTCTGTCATCAGATATGAGTCAGTTATGCCTAGATGGTAACGAGATTTTTGAATTTGAGTACATAAGGTATCAAAATTGGAACTCAATGACGTCTAACAAAACCAGGAATGAAAATAATAGTAATTGATACATTGAACACTAAAGACCAAAGACCAAGACTAGTTGGTCATAGGATGATGACAAGGACATCATGCATGAAGAAATTGAAAGCTCATTTCAAAAGATAGGAGAAAGGAAATTCAAATGGGGTCTCAGAAGACTCCAAAACTTTCTCTCAAATATACAGTATGTAAAGAGAAAGGAAGACATTAACTATAACAGAAGACTTCAAAGGGCAGCTAAAGAAGTCAAAATAAAGTACTATAATTAAATAAGCACAGTTCTAGAGTTAGAAAAGCAAATTGGAAGAACACAATGAACATTTCTCAAGTTGAAAGAAAAATTCCAACCACAAGTTGTAAGAAATACAGAAAGAATCTGTAAGCAAAATA